CCCCCCCCCCCGAAAAAAAAAAAAAAAACAAACTCAGGACCAGGTCAACAAGGCCTATGTCATGAGTGTGTGCCAATGAAATTGCAAATTTTACATTTGTACATGACTTAGGACTTGCCCTGGGAAAGTTGTATGTCATTTCGACCCAATTGGCCTAAGTCATCTCACCCTAGTATACATAGTTACATCCATGCGCTTCCAGAATTCTTGGATCATGGAACCGTCCGCCGTCAAATCGGGCTGGGAGCGGGCCAACTCACAAAATGTTAAGTCCAGCTCAATAGAACAAACACGAACAACATTTATGGGAAGCTCAGGGTTCCTCAGGATCCGTGGCGGCTTTGCGTATAAGATTGCTTGCTCGGCCGCTGCAAACCTGATCAGGAATCAAGAAACCACTGCGCCGTTACGGTCTTAAAGCTCGACTTCCGCAATGCATGCCGCTGTTGCGCTGCTGGTTTGCTCCTGCTTTTGCTGCTGCTGTGCTGCTGGTTCGCTCCTGGTTTTCTTGTGTGCTACAGTGCTGCTTGTTTGCTGGAAGCATGTTTGCGAATCGCATCGAATCGCTTTGGGCATTGTCCTCCATTTCAATAGAACAAACTCAGGGTTCCTCGTGCGCCAACGCTGGGGACAGTTTTTGGCTTGTTCAAGGATCCAGCGTATGAATGCACCGAAGGGCTCCAGGGTGCGGCAGGGCCCGATCAGAAGGCCGGCGAACAAAATCCGACGCATCAATGGGAACGCGCAGGGTGTATGCCTGCCCAACTCACAGAGTCGCGTCAGGCTTCGATTCCTAAGCAAACTAAGACTCAGAATGAATGGTCGCCTTAACATTGCACATGTTGGGCAAATTCCCTTGAGCAGACGACGCAAAAAACATTGCACAGTACCACATACCTCTGAAAGTTCCAAGGTTTACAAGGCATGCCAGATGCATGTTTGGCGAGTGCGCTGGCCTTTTGGCAGAGTTCTAGCTATATACAAGATGTTACAAGCAGGGACCAACAGCTGCGGAGGACCCACCAGCTGCATTTCGATGCACAGGTGCAGTCAATAGCCGGTATTTTGTTGCAGAAACACCGCGCGAACGTTTTTGTTGGCTCTTGTCTCATGGGGGCTAAGAGAGCCTTGTATTATATATATATATTTTTAAAACATTGTACGGTCAAAAGATTGCGATTCGAATGCGCGTGCGCGCGCGAACACACACTTAAGATTTTGCGTACTGATTTGGTTGCGGATTGCCACACGCCAGCCTAAGTGAAAAAACCTAAGAGGCCAGGTAAGTGAAATACGGTACGTGAAAAACGGCAAATCCAAGAACCTCAAACGACACCAAAACCAAGGTCATGTCCCAAGCTCACAAAAGTTCCAAGGTGAATCGCCGATGCGCTAGCCCTTTACTGCAGCAAGACGGAATGCAGAAACAACGTTTTGGACAGCTTTTGCCATACTTAGGTTTTCAAAAGCAGGTACACCAGGTTGATCAGACTTGGCTTCCACTATCACGCATAGCTTCGTTGGCATGCGTTTGCGTGATAGCCGCATCCCCCTGCTTAAAAAGGATTCAAGCTTAACAAACCAACAGGAACCTTGTGACTCCAAAGGTTACACACGCAAGCCTCCCCGAGGGGAGGCAAAAAGAATTAAGGCGAGGACGGTTGTGGAAATATGCGCGCAACAAAGACAAAAGGATGAAGACATGAGAAGGAGGACGAGACGGGACAAAGGTGTGTGCGGACGCAATGAAAAGAAAACCAAGTGCACAGGGACAACCGATGAACCCCACCTCATTGTCAAGAGCTGGGCGACCTGAAACCTGAAACCTGTGTTAATTAAAAGTGTATGTAGAAGTGCGCGTGCGCGCTAAGGCCAGGACCGCTGTGCGCGCAAACGAAAGAAAGGATGAGATGACAGAACATGAAGACAGGAAGATGTGAAAGAAAAGAGGAAAACACATGTGTGCGAAGGGGAAGGGATGAAAAGGGAAACCAAATGGAGGGGACAAAAACCACAAACCTTGTTGAAAATGTACGTGCTGTGTGTGCACCTGAGGTGGCGACAGGTTCCAATCAACCTTGAAATTGCTTTAACCGCTCTGGTCACCTTGTGCCGTGCCAAAATGGCTGGCTGCTCTGACCGCTGTGGTCACCTAAAGGCGCGCCAAAATGGCTGCCAGGTTGGAATGCAATAATCCGTCAGGTCTTGGCAAATAACTTTGGCATAAGCCTCCTGCTGTCCGCTCTGGACACGTACATCTCCGGGCAGGGGAGATCAAGACAAACCCCCCTTCAACGGGTCCACAGGGGCCAGTCTTCGGGGTCACCCTGGGCTGGCATGAAGCCAGACACACTTAAGATTTTGCGTACTGATTTGGTTGCGGATTGCCACACGCCAGCCTAAGTGAAAAAACCTAAGAGGGCAGGTAAGTGAAATGCGGTAAGTGAAAAACGGTAAACCCAAGAACCTCAAACGACACCAAAAACAAGGTCATGTCCCAAGCTCACAAAAGTTCCAAGGTGAATCGCCGATGCGCTAGCCCTTTGCTGCAGCAAGACGCAATGCAGAAACACCGTATTGGACAGCTTTTGCCATACTTAGGTTTTCAAAAGCAGGTACACCAGGTTGATCAGACTTGGCTTCCACTATCACGCATAGCTTCGTTGGCATGCGTTTGTGTGATAGCCGCGTGTTCCCTGCTTAAAAAAGGATTCAAGCCTAACAATCCAAAAGGAACCTTGTGACTCCACAGGTTACGCGCACACACTCAGTCACAGGGTTTGCAGTTATCGTAATCCACAGCGAAAGGGATGAGGGAAACGTAAGGTGAAGCGGTCAGCGCAATTGAAATGTTCAACAAAAATTTCACTTGTCTGGGCTGTGGGAAACCTGTTTGTGGGGAGTAGCGTGCAAAACTGCCATTGAAACAAAACCGGGAAAGTGGAGTCACAGCTTGCGCAAAAGTTCCGTCAGTGCAGGTGCGCCAGGATGGCCAATCCTGGTATCCTGTGTTCAGACTAGCTTCGTTTGGCGTAGTCAGCTGAACACGCTACGCCTCCCCGCGATTCTTCGTGGGTAAAAAGGGTGTGGAACGAACTCCTGGAGACGGAGTGCGACGCGCACGCACACACACAGTAGGCCGCTTTGCGGCGCTCTCTCGCTCAAGAGGCAGGTCTTTCGGTGCTGCAATATCGTGGAATATGTCAGAGGTCATGGATCCAAATGGCCTCTGTTCGTAACCAGTGGTTCTAAATTGAAAAAGAATCAAACTCCGTAGAGAGCGTCAACTGGTATGAAACGTGTGGCATGCAGTGTGAGAAGTTGAAATGCAGCATGAGCTGTGATAATGTCCGTTGGCCCGGCGGCGTCCAGTCCGTAAGCCCGGCGGCGGGAAGTCGGTTGATTCACGGGTGAAACAAATCAAGCCAAAACCATAATCCAACGAGCGCAGGAAACGCAAAATCGATATCTGATTCACAAGTGGCTTCAGCGCCTCTCTTGCGAGAGGGTCACACTGTGTACCCAGTGGGAAGACACGGCGATACACACTTAGTCACAGGGTTTGCAGTTATCGTAATCCACAGTGAAAGGGATGAGGGAAACGCAAGGTGAAGTGGTCAGCGCAGTTGAAATGTTCAACAACATGTTCACTTGTCTGCAGAAACGCGGCAGCTGAGAGAGGCTGAGGGAAACCTGTTTGCGGGGAGTAGCGGCAAAACAGCCATGGAAACAAAACCGGGAAAGTGGAGTCACAGCTTGTGCAAAAGTTCCGTCAGCGCAGGTACGCCAGGATTGCAAATCCTGGTATCCCGTGTTCAGACTAGCTTCGTTGGGCGTAGTCATCTGAACACGCTACGCCCCCCCCCCTGCGATTCTTCGTGGGTAAAAAGGGTGTGGAACGAACTCCTGGAGACGGAGTGTGACACACACGCACACCCGCGTGCGTGCAAAGAGGTCTGCTTGTATTCCAGCCAATACGAAATGAATTCATTCCTCACAGAGTCTTTCTGAGACAGCTGGAATGAGGATTGGGCACCCTGCTCAGTGTCCTGCGCGAGAGGAATAACCTTCCGCAAGCCGTGGCCAAAGATTCAAACAAATCACGGATCCACAAAGAGTCACCAGTTTTCAGATTATTTGCCAAGGTCCAAGGTGTATGACGGTGCATATATGTGCAAGTTTAGAATGTACAGTACTTGTAAATAGCCAAGATTCGCGACACATGTAATTTTGCACATCGGTAAAGATTGTTCACTTTCATTGGGTTACCCTTTTTCCTGCTGCACACGCCTGTGCAACAGGCGACATGTCAACCACACGGCCAGCGACTGCGGCACCGTTCTTGGCATGAATGTGAAGCCAACATGAACCAACCACATTTTTTGTGAAACATATTGAAGATCTTGAAACAACAAAAACACAATTTCCAACAAAGAACACGTTTTGTTTCCTGCTTTCTGTTTGGTCAGTTTTTAAAATATTGTTCATTCGGATTCTTTGAGCCTCTGCAGGCAATTTTCCACCAGGGAAGAGCCTAGAGACGCGCGTTTGCGAAGTCAATGTGCCATGTGTCTGCCCGGCATGTGAACAGCTACATTTACATTTCGTTCCGAGTGAACACCGGCGGCTTTCACACACCCAAGAGATTGCGCATAGGTCCCAGATAGAGACTGTGAATTTGAAGCGCACCGTGCTCAGCTGATGATCGATGAAGCAAGACCTCCTTGCAGATGTCTCCGCAGGTGGGACCTTTGGGGGCCTTGCTCCGCACACTGCGATGGACGCGTGGAAGGGACATTAGAGTCGATTTGAGTGGTTGAGGGACATGTGAGACTTCCAGTGGCGAGTGGTTTCTGGACAGTGTGTACCCAGCTATGCAACTATTTCATGCTGTATTGCCTGAAGTTTGATCTTGCCAACGCATCCCTGCAAAGCGTGTCCCTATAAAGGCGTTCGCACCGATACACCGATGCACCAAGGGTTGAGGCTTTAGGGTGTCGAATCGTCGTAGCGGCGTAGAACGCACAACGGCGTATTGGCGTAGCGTACTCACACTTAAGGACACAGTTTGCAAGCACGCTCCAAAGCATTACTGTAATTTTCTGAGTCACAGATGGCTGCGCACAATTTGCTATACTGAAAGTTGTAGGGCGTTTGAAATCGGGTCCATAACGGACTTCCGGGTCTTGGGCAAACAGGCCCATCGCAAGTAGATCCCAAAATGGCCTGGATCCTAGACCCTAGCCATCTACCATGACGTCATAAACAAGGCGCTGCTTGGAATTAATCAAGAAACCCAGGGTCTACAAGTAACGCAATTGTCAAACGTGTGTAATATTAGGATGTTTCCGTAGCCATTTTGGCTCAAGACATTTTGGCTCAAGGGAGGAGGCTCAAGAGAGGTTCAAGTTGCTGCTAGGTTTCTGAGCGCGCCGGGGTAGGCGGGCAAATGGCCTGGGTAAACCCCCAGGACCCATATGAAGTGCCCATGAATGCCGTTGGCGTTGGTTGCCTTGAGACGTGCGTGGGCGCAAAGTTGGAGTGTTCTGACTGCTTGTAAGCATTATTGGAAGGTGGCCAAAGGATGGCAAGTGCCGCAACTGGAACAGTGGATTGGCCCGGACGGGGTGTGTTGGAGCTTTGACTTTGCTTGTCGACCCACCTTGTTGACGCTTGAAGCGCAGTCTTGTCGTTCTATTTTCTTGCATGAATGCAAGCTCATGTCAAAGCAGCCTTCGGGTATAGGTTTGCAAGATGGATTAGATAAACACTTCCACCGCGCCATCCTGAAAAACATGAAGGCTTAGATTCTGCGGCGCTACAAATGCTTTGGCAGGGTGCCCTACCACAGAGCGGAAACTCTCGTTTAAGAAGTTGCCCGCTGTGTCGGGCGCCACTGTGCACTTTACGGCATATCTTGTATGAATGCCAGCACGTCATCAGTCAGTGTGGCACCGCACCAGCCGCTTGGGCACACCTTGCTTTGCGCTTGACAGTCAGGCACACTTTTGGGAAAGAGGTTTGGTTCCTTTTGGGTGGACCCATGCCCCTCCTGTCACGGATCCCAGTGTACGTGCTTTTTTGGGGTCATGGACGGTGACTTTTCCTTGTTGGATCCTAGTCTACCTCTTTACGTTGGCCCTGATGGTTCCGGGGGACCTTCTGGTAAAGATCCGCGTTTGTGCAAATGTGGATGGAGCATTGTAGTTGGGCAGTGCCATCAAAATCAGTTGATTGTTGTTGGTGCCATGTCTGGCAATCTCACCGACGATGGGCCCAACACAGTGCCCAGGGCTGAGCTACATGCCTTTGTACATGGACTTGAAATTTTGTCCCAGGTCGAAGCTCCGACCATGTTTTTGTCCACGGACTCTGCGTATGTATTCAAGAATGGAGAATCGGATTCAAGACCGCCACCCTTCCCCATGGCCACCTCAAACTTCGTGGCCAAACGCTAGACCTCCCTAACCTTGAAGTTGTTAAGGTCAAGTCCCATCTGTCACTTGACACACCTGAGTACGGGTGGTTCCAAATGGGCTTGGGAGATAAACCAGGCTGCCGATGAATCGGCAGGTCAAGCGGCTGAGAGTGTGGCTCCTTGGCACTTTGAACATGTGCGCCGTTTTGTTTTAGCCCGTGCTTGGAAGCCAAATGTATGGCTACTTCCCCGTGCACTGTATTGGCTTAAAGCCACAAAACCCTTTTTGCATAAAACTGGCCATAGGAAAAGTGGACTTACCAAAGCCGAAGCCTGTGACCAGGACTGCGAAAATGGGAGGCCATGAATGGAAAAAAGGGCCAAAAGGCTTGAAGTGTGCCGTAGGCCATGCTACAGCACCCCTCTACAAATCCCTTTCGGAGATTGAAGTTGCCGTTGTTTTTCCTTGTCAAGGAAGCGTGCCCGCTGCCGGTATACATTTCACTCACCAGATGGGATCCGGCAGAGTCAGTTTCTGTGAGTTTTGTCGTGGTCGACACCGTTTTGGGGCCAGCGTAAGTCGTAAGTTGTCACTTCCGTGCGGGACCTCAGCCAGGGCTATGTGTAGGTTAGGTAGGTGACAGGTTTGCTTGTTCGGAAAAAGCAAATTAGGATGTTTAAATTTAGGGCCTAGGGTTTACTATTCCAAGGGGGATGTCAGAATGATTGATTTGGAAGAACAAATTGGAAGTGGACATGGGTAGAAAAGTGTGGCACAAAGTCAATGCCATGATGATTGCCTTCAAAGGGGCTGTGGGTGTGGAATGATGTGTCTAACCAAGTGAGGTGTATGAGTGCTTTGCAACATCATTGGTGTCGATAAAGGTGTGTCACAAAGCGGGGGTGTCAAAATGGTGTGTCACAGAGTCACAGGCTGTGTGTGTGTGTCCCACCCTGGACAAAGGGTTTTTCCACCACCTTCGCTCCACAAGCAGGGGGCAGGAGTGCCATTGCAAGTCTCCTGCCAACGAAGACGCTTGCAATTGGCAGTGAAACCAGACCTGATCAGTCTGGCGTACCTGCTTTCAACACAATGACTCCACTGGTCCACCCTGCCGCTGTTTCTTTGTTTCCATGGTTCTTCATGCTACCACCCCCAAACAGGTTTTCCCACCGCAGATTCGCAGCAGATTTGCCGCTTTGCCGCCGTGCGCTTTTGTTGACAACCATTTGTTCAAACATCTACAATTGCGCTGACTTTCCACCTTACCGTTTGAGCCATTCTTTTCCTCGAGAGATTGCATTAACTGAAAATCCAAGTTCGAAGTGTGTCCTGCTCAGCCGTCCCACTCGGGTGCTGAGTGTGAACCCCTTCACCGGGGCGCTGTTTTTTGCATGGGAAAGCAAACAACCCAACGCTCCACCGATCACTGGAACATCACAGGAAAGCACCGACCCCACATTGAATCAACTGCCACATTGGCCGCCGGGCCAAAAAACGGTTCTTGAAGAATACATCGGAAATCAGCTTTGCGGATCGATCTTTTCACTCCTTCAAATCATGTTCATTGTTTCATGTTTTTGCCATTTTCATGCCGCGATTACTTTATCGACAGAACTCAAGGTTGGGCATGCGAGCTCTTCAGCTTAATTCGAGATGCATGAACACACACCTACCAACAAGCTCACATTTAGCACCACCTTACAACACACTCACCACTGACACCAGAGATGACATCTTCAACAACAACATGACAATACCACTCGGCATTTTTTCGCTGCCTTTTGCTGCCGCGCCGCGCCGAGCCATAGCTACGACCACGACATGCATTTTCCGTGGCCCTATGCTCACACCACGCCACCACCACTACCCACCACACAACCTCAACCCACATGGCCGCTGCCGCAGCCATCAACTGCACCCACCTTTCCCACGACTCAACCATCGGCATACCCTCACCCACAACCATTTCAACCACAACCGGTTCTATCCTCCCCTGCTGCTACCGCACTGACCTACGGCACACCATCCACTTGGACTTTTGTCCCCCCATCTCACATACCACTGCAACCCACACATCCAGCTCCAGTGTTTCAGACAGCAGCACCTCCCCCATCCTACCTGGTACCACCACATCATTCTACAACACCAGCCGAACCTTCTCCCCCCATTACACTGACACATCCCTCCCTAACACAACAACAGACTGCGATTGCCAAATCTCCATCCACTGATCCCCAATATGCCATCCCCCAGGGCGTTTGGCAACCCTATACAGCTTTTCCCCCTGTCACACAACATCCACTCCAACCGGGACCCCCACCACCACCTCCACAAATCACCACTGCCTCAACGCCAACCCAACCTCCATTTCAACAGCAGCCACCATCGGATCCAGCGCCACCGATCCAACCCATCCCCACGACTGCCCAGGACAATCCATTACTAGTCCAAAATACACCAGCCACCGTCTCACAACATTCAGCATCCCCCTCGCTGGTCCCTGCCACACCAACACCGGGACCTTCAATCCCAGCATCAGACAAGCCTGACACTACTGCATCACCAGCACCACAACCACCTTCCCCACAACCACCACACAGCAGTCGCCACCACCATCACAAGAGCAGACGCAAGTCCGACCATCACCACAGAGGACGCCACCGTCACCGCCGCCGACACCGCCATCACCACCATTCCAAACACCACAGCAAAACCAGGCAACGGCGGTCACCTTCAACATCCACTTACACATCCAGCCTCACGCCACCCCGCAGCCGCTCGCCACCACAACCCATTGATCTACGCCCCAACACTGAACACTCCAACCCAGACCCCTCTCAATTTCCCACCACAGCCACCCTTCGTCGCCCAACCAACCGTTGGCGACCTCCACCCAACTTTCACACATTTACACCTGCAGACCAAATCCTGGAATGGCTCGAATTTCACGCCACCCAACTCGACAGTCCCAACAGACCACAGCACCAGTACATTGCCAATATCCTCACAGACTGCAACATCTCCTACAAGGAGATCAACGATTTCCGCCAATACACCCACGCAAAGTGGAACGACACAACACACCAATACGACCAATTCCAATACTTTGCCATTTCACTTCCCTTCCTCAACACCAAAGCCACCACACCCGAGCCACCTGCGGTTTCCCGCGCCACATCAACCCACCGAGAAGTTGCCCACATCAACGCAGGCCACACAGGCCCCATCGGCAACCTTTCCAACATTCTACGCCAAGGCCGTTTTCTACCCAGCACACTCCACTTTGCCAACTACCCTGGATTTTTTGCCCAGGGCGTTCGCATCACCCACAACCAACCCCATGACCACAATGAATTTG